CCACTGCGTTCCCGCGCGACCCCGACTCCCATCCCGGGTGCCAAACAACCGGCGCGACAGGGACGATTCTCCGCGGGACGTGACCGCTGCCACTCAGCGGCAGCGACTTGCCAGTCCATTTAGTATTGCGTGCTTCAATTGATCATCCACCTCTCAATTGAAAAGTCATTTTGTGAAGTATCCAATAACGGCTAGCGCAGTCACTGTCGCCTTTCGACACGCGTAACTGGATGACTAACTATTGATTGAGATTGTATCACACTCTAACACATCCGATCAAATGCTTTCGAATGCAAACAACGACTAGCACAGGAAGAATTTCAAACAGGATATTTTAGAATTGTTTATTAACTGATCTTATAAGGTCATGTCACGGCGATAACAAACGTTAAAGAGAATGAATGATGGTTGCATGGAAATATGTGTTCTTCAAATCAAAAATGACACTGTGTTACTATCGTCTATTATTTATTTAAAGTGGCAGTGGAGCACATTTCTTTCGGAATATATTGAAACATTTTCGATTAAACGAGAAATTATAAAATGAACAAAATACAAAATTAATAATAAATAAACTCAAATAATACTATACTTAAACCGTACATTATTTTCTGTAACATTTAAATAAATAAACCAGTAAATAAATAAAAAAATTACTTGTCACCTCTTGTTTTCACTTAGTACTTGTGAGAGATACTAATGGTTCGTAGTGCATATTTCTTTAAAAAACAATTCGTCAACATTGTTTTTATATAATTTCAAGTGCCCCAAACAATAACTTTTCATGCGTGTCCAATTTTTATGAATGTGTATACTTGCTGAGGCAATTTCCTGTATATTGTATTTGAAGGACGTTTCTTGCTTAGTAGGAAGAGAATGCAAGTTTTAAATAAAAACATACGCATGTTTTTCCGAAAATATTTTAAGATAATCATTAAATTTGAGCAGATGGAATCTTGCATCCCTTGTTTGTATTAATACTTAACATAAGTAGTTGTTGGCATTCCCTTCACGGTAGAATATATTCAAAGTTGTCAATGATGTTATAGAATGTGCTATTTTTGTAACCCAACATTTTCGAAAGTTTCATATCGGGAAGATTTTTTCTCGGTAATCCGTAGAGAAGCGTAAACTCAGACAGACAGAAGTTGGATTAGAATCATGTAAATAGAAATTAACGCCTGAAACAACAAACCTTGCATCTCATTAGGCTCAGAAACTTCCTAGCGCACCCTGTTTCGCCTATACCTGCCACTCATCACCGTAACGTTCTTCACCTACCTTGGCCACCTTTGGATAATGTGAACATTAACCGGCTAATTTGTGATTTAGCTAGATTCAGGCATTATCAGGAACATATATTAAGCGCGCCAGGAATGTCTATCAACAGTGACACCTTGCCAATGAGAGCGCTTGCAATAGAAATTATGTTGGTAGCACGAGCTGCAGCTTATAACAGAAGTAAACGTAAATTGCGTCCTCATCATAATAGATGCTGAAATTATTGTCATCTTCACTTGTTTCTCATTGATCTCTTTGCTACCAACTTAAATGCAGTTTTAAAGCGGAGTGACTTTCCTGACGCACTATATTTATTTACGGATCGTAAAACCCCACCGGACCGATGGACGTGGTTGCTGCTGTGAAGCGTAGCCGCCCCCTATCCCCTGACAGACGTCACCCAGGGTTTACATCATACTCCGACTTCCGACACATCAGTTTCCATTCCGTTGGTGAACTGGGCTGTCCGCGCCAGACTCTGCGGCAACATTTCATGCATTCGCACCAGGACTTCGACTCCTGAATCGTTGTATGCCAGCACTTTAAATACTTGTGTATCACGGGGCACCTGTTCTCCTGGGTTCCCACGCAGTTGGCTGCCTGTTGCGAATTGCAACTCGGAGGACGGTCTCGTGCTATTTTTATCTCACTATTGTGTGCAATCAGCGCCTGGAATTTCCGGCTTGCTTTTCAATTTTCACCACGAATTTTGCACTAATGTACTGTTGTTTTGACACAGCGCATCCACCGGCTGAGGTGGCTCAGGACATCAACTGATATCACTCCAATGCCTCTCGCCGGGAGGTCCGGATCCCCACGGAGGCAGGCACTAGCTAGTCAGTTAGGTCAAATTCAACCGCTATCTGGAGGAGAATTCTAGCGGTCGGTGCTCTGATCGTTAGTTTTCCGTGGTTTCTTCTATCAATAACCGACGAATGCCGGAGAAGTACCCTAACAAACGGGCCTCAGACCGCGCGCATTATTTGCTTCTTCTTCACAGGACAATGAAGTGTAAGTGTACCCCGAGTACCGCTTACACTTACAAGAATTACACTACCACACATATCGGAAGACCAGTTCGGAAATTAGAGCTTGTCCCGGCTGAGGCGGTGCTATGCAACGCTGGTGGGAGATACCTGGATGGAGAAAACAGCAAGCCGATGTGTAGGTCTGTGCCGGATCTCACCATCCAGCGGGGGAAGAACACCGCATCTCTTACCACATCGCATGATAATACATGCTCTACACTTACAGAATTAATGACCATAGCCGTTAACGCGCCCCAAAACACGAAATAATCAAACTCAGTTGCCCCACGCGCATAAAGTTAGCAAAAGATTAGCATTTTGCAAATTCCTTACTTTTATATTCGGAGCTAGTATTGCTATTCATCATTTCCATCCGGTCTAACATTTCTATCTAATCAAGATTTTCGAAAAGGTTTGATTTAATGCCAGGTTCTCTTCATTCTATGTGTAAACAATATGCACTCTTCAATTCCAAACCAAACTGAACAGGTCTCTTCGCTGATAATACGAATATTCTTACAAAAAATACAATAAAATTTAAAAAAAACAATAAGTAAGCTGCATATTTTAAATTGTTTTTGTAATTGAAAAGCAATAGTAAATTATGGAAAAACTTAATTAAGTTTCCCATTTCAAATACACAATTGCATACACAAATGGTTTCAACATGAACGATTCAATCATGCCTAGATTATCTAACTCCCCCATATGTCATATACAGCCCTTCCTGTTTTTCTGTTACGTCTCTCTCAAATGAGTCAAACCTCAAATGAAACATCCATTTAAATAAAATGAACACAAAAATAAGCCAATTATGTTAGGAATTCATGATTTTTTCAAATTCACTCAGCCTGCATGCAACGTGTGTACAACTGGTTCCCGACTGGGAAATAGCATGATATTCTCAGAAAACACGTTATATAGTTATCAGACTTTTAGATTATAGAAGTTAAAAGTCTATAGAATGTCGTTTGACTTATAGAAGTTGTAAGTCGAGTAATAAGTCTATTCGTCCACGTGGTTAATTCAATCATATTTTTATTAAACTAGAAATTCTGCCATTGCATTGCCTCTTCATTAACGAATCAGAGGTTTTGTCGAAACTGACTAACTCAAGGATGGAAACATATCCAATACAGATGTCTATAATTGTAACACGGGACATGGGAATCTTATTCATCAGTCGTAAAGGCTAACAGCTCAGAACATACAATTCACGTATATGTACTGTACATCTAATAACATAATGATTTACGGGAACTTAGCTCAAAACGAAAACAAGCAAAACATTCGCCATTTAAAAATTTACTTACCTCTTGGAAATTGTTAATAAGGAGCAGAATTTAAAAATAAAAGAAGCGTGAAATAAATAATAATTAGTAAAGTATACAAACGTAATTCAAATCTCAGTTGTTTATTAGAAAACATCAGGCAAAGCACGCAGCAAAGTAAAGCAACAGTCTTCAAGTTATTACGAGTGCGATTGGTACGGAGCTTCCCTGCTATATATTGCACTGGGACACCCGCTTCTATTTTTGGAGGGGAAATGAGTGCGGAGTCAGGGGAAGTTGCTCGTGCTTCCAGGAGCGACAGGCTTCCCAAGCGGGCAAGTAGCTCGTGCAGGCGCAGTTGTTTTGTAAATCGATGATAAGACCTAACGATAAATGCTAATTTATTCTAATATTACGAGGAACCCACTGGAACTGCCACCTAGGCAATACATGACCTTGACGTTTGAGGTGGGACCTGAGTACTTCAATGTCCCTAAGAGCTACGTTCTCGGTACTGTAGCCAATGGAAGGGCCTCCAACCTTGCCAGACAGGTCGAATGAAAGGGCTCAGAGCTCAGAAGAGGACCTGAATGCAAAGAAGAGAGAGTAAATAAATATGTAAACGGTCATCGGACTATCTTAATGTTTTTAAATATCTAGCTTAAATTTTGAGGGCAAAGGACAGGTTCGAAAAAGAGGTTATAATTAATTTTGAAAATGTCCCATGGCTTTCATGTAATGTACCACCCAAATTTAAAAAGTCCGTTTCAAATTCGAGGGGCCGCAACATCGGTCAAATCAAAGAGAAAATATCTGTTTTGGTGCAAATCCTGTATACTGTTTAGGCGCTAGTGTTATTTACAGATGGACGAACAGACCAATATAGGGACACTGATCAACGTTTCTCATTTCACGAATGAATATGACTTTTCCCTACAACATCTATTCATTCAAACTGTTAAAAAACTCAATATTTATTTAATATTCACTTGTTTGTTTATACCAATGAAATAACATAAACAAATTTCTTTCGTTTGTTGCAGAAATATGTTGTGAGTACAGAGAAGAGTGGAGATCTCCATGTATACGTACAGGTATGTAAGCCTTTACAATAGAGAAATGGAAGCGCCTATTTGAACATTGAATTTTGTTGCTAATTGCAATGCTAACTTTCAGGGAGACCTGAGCCAACAAGGAAAACGCGCTGTTTTCTTAACAGTGCATGATCTTGGCTGCAATCGTAAGTACTTTTTTTCATTGAAGAATTAATGCGTGTTTAAAAAATAATTAACCCCGTAGCTTTTCTAAACCCTCTTATTTTAATTGAACTTAGTCGTTATTTCTCGTCCTTTTTACCTGTTACCTAGAATGAAGCCGATTAATTTTTCTACAGGATGTAATTTCAATGAAATGTCATTTTTCTTTGGACATACGTACCTTCCTCTAATAAAATAGAAACGTAAATTTAAAAGGCTCATTCTTTTTGGGGGTAATTGTTAATATTCAGTTATTTCATTTTATTATGAGATATTTATTTGCTCTTTAATAAGCAATACGTGATAAGGGATATATTTGATTATCATAAAAATAAACTGAACTTCATAATACATCAATCTTGAGAAAATTAATTTATTTACCACCAAATATTCGATTAAAAATAATCAGAGACAGAACATCCACTCTGCTTCGACTGCAAGTAGAAGGGCTGGGTAGCTCTTCCAGAGTGTTTTAATTTTATGCTCATATGTTAAGAATGTATTAATTTCTAGAATGTCCCAGATCATGGAATTTCGTCGAGGTACGCTGTACAATAAAAATATTATCACAGCCTACCTTGACCAAATCCCGTGATCCGGAACATTCATTAATTTACCAAAAGATAGTCGTGAATATTTTCTCTAGGTATTGTGTATAATAGTTCTCGTAAATGAGACATTGTTATTGCAAATGGCCGTCTCAAGTTTCCTTCTCGTTGTGGTGTAAAGGAAGTATCATCATACTACTTGAAGTTCAATTGAGATAAAATATATATCCACGAAAACTTAGAAAGCACTCTCTTGTAAGCATGCAGCCATTTCATAGTAATATTTAAAATGCTACATCCCAACATGTAAACAGTTCGGAATTAAATAAGTTTATAGTTATAGCAATAAAGCATCGTAATTTTCAAAACATCTTTGATTGTTCTATTTCTGTGTTTTCTGTAATTATTTCACTTGGTTCGAGAGGCCGATTTCGTAATCTCTAATATATTTTTTATAGGTAGCTTTTTAACTGGTTGGTCATATAGCGACCACTGTGCTTTTTAACATTGGGGTAACTGTTAGGACACATAAGAACAACATGGACACCCACAAACATTCATGTCTGAGACGGGATTCGATCCCGTGTCCCTTGGGGCCAAGGCCCTTCAACCTTGACGAACTTGGCTACCCAGACTGGCAATATAACATATTGTTACGCAATATTTTCGTGTAAAACTTGACCCCAAAACAGAAAGTTTTTTTAGAAGTATAAAATGAATCTTTATATACTACTTTAATAAATAGTACAACGTAAAAAACAATAGTGGTCGCTATATGACCTATCAGTTAAAATGCGAACTATAAAAATTAAATATTACAGATTACGAAATCGGGCTCTCGTACCAAGTGAAATTATACATTTCTCTAAAACATACAGAAATAGAAAAATCAAAGAGGTTTTGAAAAGTATGATACTTTATTGCAACATAAAACATTTCTATGTACCTGCATTTTCGGTGTTAATGGCCCTGTCTATAAATATGGTTTTGCAGACGAATTTTTATACTTCATGAAGTGCGAATTTTTTTAAAACGTTCGGCAAAGTATCGTAAAGATTCAGAGAACACGTTTTAGTGGTGTGGTATTGATCTTATTAAGAAGTGATGAATAAATCTTGTCCACACAAGTAGCTGCGCCTGCGTCACACGCACAAGCGCCAATCGGGCGGCTCCTGTTGACCGGCGCTGGCCCCCGAGGCCACGAGGCCCCCGCCCGGGGCTGGGGGCGGCCCCACGCCTCGACGCCCGCCGCGCTGCCAGAGCTTTGCGCTGTGGAGGAAGCGAAACGGCGGTTTAAAGGACGCTGCTAGAGACGGGGGCTGAAATTTAAAAATGTTTTAAGTTCTTTTGATCTTTGCTATTTGAATTTCCTTGAGAATAGGAAAATAAAGTAGTCTTTCAACAGTAAACACATTTAATAAACTTGAGATTTGAAGCTTTTCTTCCTTGATTTCACATTGGCCAAGCTATCAACGGCTACTATCAACTGGCATGCCTTTTCATTTTCTATTGATGATATAACCAAATCGCTTAGGATTTCTTGAATCATAGTACTTTTGAGAGTAGATGCTGATTAGTTTTAATTTAGAGAAAAATAGTCCAGCTTTGGTAACATTAATATGAACTATTTCGTATTTACAGCATGTTAAGTATAGTGCAAGTATAGTCTATAGTTGTCCGGTAATGACTCTAATTCCCGGTTGATCTTTAGTGCATTTTTAGAGTCTACTTTGGTGTTGCGGACAAAATACGCATAGGGTGCGATTGTTTGTAAAACATAAATAAGTTGCTCGCGTTGGTTCCTTGTTTTTGTATACTATGGCCAGTTTTCAATCGCTTTGAATAATAGAAACTAACAGTACACGAAACTTTTGCTTATTCATCTTCAGAATCCAGGACCTCGGCGACTGTTAGGCGTCGGCCAAGACGTTCAGCTGACAGCCAAGTGCCGAAATATTGTAGACGACTTGGTGGTCACGCTGTGAATTCCTTTCACTCAATCCACGCTTACTCTCTTTTATTTTATTTTTTAATAATTGTCTCGCGTTAAATTGCAACAACAATAAGGAATAACCTTAATTTAAAATTCCGTTGGCCTGTGATTGGTTACTGAATGCTTTATTCCGGAATGTCTTCAAAATCTGGAACCTCACCTTTTCGCATGCGACGAGGTTTCTCCTTGGGACCCATTGCGATATCGTGGATGCCGACGCGTTTCACCGTATCCGCTAGCTTCCCTGGGCAGGCGTTTTACACGAATGACGGTCCACAACATGCCTTTCATTATGCAAATGACCTCAGGCTTTCTCAGACACATTCGTTAGACGGCTCTTACTGCACAAGGCGAGACTCGACAATGACAGTGCCTCGCTGGCACGGTGACAAGGATCCTGTCCATCTGGCACGAAATCATTGCAGGCTTTGTGCGCGACGCGGTGTTAGCGCAGTAAATATCCCCCCGGAGCGCCGTCTGCTACGGAGTTGGCACTCCCTGGATGATTCACGGCTGTCACCTCTGCTTGGGTGTCTCTCTTAATAAAGTCACTGCTAAGTATCGGTCTTTTCTCTCTGAGGTTCAACTGGACACTTATGGCACTAATTCTGTTGTAACCAATGTTGCGAGTTCATTTGGACCCCGTTACGCAGAAAGCTACCTACGTCCAGATTTAATTTCTTGAAGGTACTGCATGAAATTGTCACGGCAATTCCATTTCGTATTTTACAAAACAATATCCAACCCACACCGCATAGTTTTCGGTGTCGACTTTATCCAACTGAGCCACCTTTGGGTTGCGACTCGTACGGAATGTTGCAGAAAAAAACAAGCCATTGGATACATTCTGCTTACAGAGTGCGTATGCACAAACATTCCGTGTGGTTTGGTTTAGTTTTTGCTTATTTCAAATACGTAAATTTATTGTTGTAATATTGGCAATCATGTTATAACAACTGATTGTAACGTATAGTTTCTTTTATTCAAAGCTGTTTTATGTGATACACATCACACAATGGAGTGATCAAAGACCCGTCTGGAAATTGAAAACTCTGACCTAGTTTCGCACAACGCTACTAACCCTCAAAAGCACAAACAAGGAACAGAATGCGAAGAGATAGTGTTTTTGGCATTTTGTTACCAGAAAACACTGCCACAATCTCCAAATTCAACGAACTGCGCATTCTACATCCAACACCCATTGTTTCCCGAATGAAACATTTTCATTTTAGTGGTACTAGTGAACTACTATATATCATATACTACTATGTAATAGTACTAGAAACTAACGTTATGTAATTATCACACAAAATGTAACACATTTTCCACCTGAAATGGAATTCTGTATTCGTTTGAAACACTACCTGCGAATTTTTATATCAAGTTATGCTAAACCCCCCTTTTCACAGTGTGTACTATTTGTGGGTATCATTCTGAAAACAACTGAGCTCATTTGTATTTCCACTCAGAGTCCGCGATGAGAAGTGATATAATGACAGGTGCAGTGGTCAGTCTGCGCGCAGGTCACCGGTGCACAGATATACAGACTCATTGGTGCACAGTCGCGCGCAAAATTTGAAAGCAATTTTTTAGGTTCCAGATTATGGATAAACAAATGAAAAAACAGAGAATATAGTAAATTGAAACTTGAATTGTTGTAAACCGTTCACACGAAAACCAATTTTATTTCCGTGTGAATCCACTTGCGACTAAAAATTGAATCGCTTCAAACATCTACTGATATTTTTTATTCGCAATGTGAATACTTTGGCAAGTAAATGAAATTCCGTATAACAATCAAAATATCGTTGAATTTCCACCGAAAGTCACGAGATTTACTGTTAAATGATTATGCGGACATTTATCAGATCACACTTACACCAGTCACCTTATCTTGAGAAATCATGTTGCCAAAATCCGATAATACTATCAAGATAATTTGTTAATTTCGAATTCTCGGGCTAGGGGATTGCCGAAGCAGATGCAGCAGTGCTGCGATGTCGCCCTCATCTCTACGCCTCAGGGCCGGTTTCCGTTTTGCAGTGCGGAACCAAGAGGAACCAGTTCGCAGCGCAGGGCTCACAGCCCCTTCACATGGAGCCACTTAGCAGCGCTCTCGAGTGGCGCTTCTGCATGTAATTCATTGGTTTAAAAGGAGTTATTCACGCAGTAGTGTTGCTATGATTGTTAGTGCCACACTCCCGCCACCAGCAATGCAGACGCGCTTCCTGGCCTCTGACCACAGTTCTAAATGGCATTCCCACTAAGCCACTCCGACGCGCCACTCGGCGTAGCTTTTTACTTAATTGCCCTTCGTAAGAAGAGAAAATATTGCAATCGTGCGCCGGATAACGGCAAGTTTCTGGCAAAAAAAACTGTCTGGCCCCGGTAACGAAAAGCTGCATGTCTTGTGTGTGTGTATATATATATATATATATATATA